TCCACTCAACCCAAAGGGTCCCTATCCAGGCTGTCTTAAGGTGAGCATCCTGATTCATCCTCCCAGAGCTCACCTGACTTGAGCGCTTCACAAAAGGGCAAGCACCAACCTGGTGAAACTTGGAAGTGGCCTCTCCACCTTCTCTAGCTTCCCTTGTTTATTTTTTTCTGAGTAGAGAGAATCACACAGTCTGTTTATTTCCCCAAGCCGGGCAGGCGAGAAATGGGACATATGGGCATTTTGCGCTCCGCATCTGTGTCTTCAGTCAGGGGTTTCTGTGGATGCTTGCACGTGTGTGTGTGTGTGTGTGTGTGTGTGTGTGTGTGTGTGTGTGTTTGGGGCCTGGCGCTGGGAACAAACGTGCATCTGTTAAAGCTGACAATAAAGTCCTAGAGTAAAGCTGCCAAGATTGGGGCATTGGGGGGCGGAAGACAGAAGGTGGAGGAGAGTTGGAATCTCAAAGGCGAGGCCAAAGCACCCGGCCCAGGTATTATGTCGGGAGAAGGTGAGGCGAGCAGCTGCTCCTTCTCGCGGGGTGTGTATGGGAGCGAGAGTGCATGTGCGCCTGAGAGGAGTACACACGAGCTGCCCGACATATGTCGCCACAAATCACAGTAACTGTCCCTCCTCCCACCTCCCACTCCCCGCGCAGTTCCTGACCCAGCGCAGAACTGGAGAAAGCGCTGAGAAGAGGCGCTATTTCAACAGGTGTCTGGGTGCGCAATGCACCTTTTCAAGCATTGACAGGCGCGGCTGGCGGCAGCAATAATGTGGACACTTTGTTTCCTGGCTCTGCGCGCTAGCTGCGGGCGCCCGGGGGGAGGCGGCTCCAGGCAAAGCGGGAGATCTGGAAATAAAGACCTCGGGTGCTCCAGAGTGTCCCAGCCCCTCTCCTCCCTTTGTTGGAGGACTCCCTGGGCCGAAGCTCCCTCGTGCGCTCTGTGGGGTAGCATATGGCGCCCTCTCACCTACCCAAGAAAAGGAACCAGCCACCCATTCAAGAGCGCACGAGCTCCCAGGGCCCCCGGAGGGGGGAGTCACTAAGGGAATGGCCCCTCTCCTAAAGCCAGTGAGCAGCTCGCCTTATCTGTCCCCACCCAACCTCCACCATGCTCTCAGCTGGCGCAGCAGCCGTTGGGTGGGGAGCAATGCGCTGGGCAGCACCAGCCCGCGGAAGCGCCCCAGCTCTTGGCAGATGAAATATGGGGTTGGTGAGCCCCTGGAGACCATATGCTTTCAATAAAAGAAGACAAATAGGACCGAGATAGGCCTTGCAGCCAACCTGTTATAAATGAGTGGCAATTGGGCCAATGTACACGGGGGCAGGGCCCCCGGGGGGAGGCCTGCTCAGTGCCAAATCCATGTGTCAGCTTCTAGGACAGGTGTGCCCAGGGGCCAGGGGCCAGGTCTCCCCCCCTTCGGGTTTATCACGGCAAAGGTAATATTGTGCTAACTATGAGTAAACAGTCATTGTGAAGACCAAGGAGAGTTTATCAGAGGCGAACTAGTTAGGGGGTGGCTTAACAATAAAGTTGCTCGCCTTAGGAGCAGGTGATGGCTGGTTGCGCTGACTCCCGCCGGAGATGTTTTCCAAAGCACCCCGCTTTACAATCTCTTGTAATTATTTATTAAACGAAATCTATTTATTATTATTTTAGCAAACACTGGAGACAGGTGGGGCTTTCTTTTCGTCGTCTCCTTTTGTTTGAAGGGCTGTTTGAAGTGGCCAGTCTCGGTCCCGGCAGCCTCGCTCGCCAGATTTTTGTCTTCCTCTCTTTCAGGGCCTAAGCGAAGGCGAGAGAAAGAAGCCCCCTCCTCTGACAAGCCATTAGCTATTCAACTTCCCATGGAGGCCCCCCTCCTCGCTAGATCCTCAAAGAGCCCCCAGACAAGGCTAGCATTACCCCCGCCCGACCGCAAGACGCTAGGGCCAGTAGCTGCCTAACCCTCAATTCCAATCTGCCTGCCGTCTCCAGGCGTCTGACTGTCGCCTCTCTCTCAGAACCCCTCAGGTCCCCAAGCAACTCTAGGTCTTACAAGGTGGAGGAACACAGGGGTTCTGGAGGCCTCGGGGGCGGTGGATGGATGACCCCCTCACTGTAAGAACAGGTTTTGCTCTGGGACGCAGAGAGCAATTTTACAAGTACAATTGGCGCGCACTGCGCAGTCAACTGCGCCTCCACCTCCAAAAGTCCAGGGATTAACTTTGGAGAGGGGTCTGTGGGTCCCTGGCAGCTGAGAGAGAGAGTATGGATCCTGAATCTCTAAACTTCTAGGACTCATAGACATTCAGGTCGGCCTCCTGACTACATGAAGACTGGCAGGGAGTTTGGGCATTACTCATGCGCACTGCCCCTTCGCGGCGCGTTCCTTACCCTGACTGCTTTTTGCGCAAAAAAGGCTGCTGGCTGCCGACAAGCCCAGAAGAGCCCTGAACCAGAGAGATAGTGAGGAAACTGCACAAGAATTCCAAAAGGGCCTCTACCTATCAAGAAATTTTACCAAGAACCCCCAGGATTTCCCCTGGCCGGGGAAGCTCTGCGCTCTAGCCAAAGTCCTTTAGATTCACAGGGCAGGACCCAGCCAGGGAGAGTCCTGTCCCATGTACAGTCACAGGATAGATGACAGCTACAGATGTAGGCTGCTTTTCAGGAACCCAGGGGAACCCATGATCGCTTGGGTCCCCCTAGCAACCTGGGTTCCCTCCATGCAGCCCGATTGGGTCTCAGGGCTCTAAGGATGCCTTTTAAGTCATTTTCCCAGTTTCTGATTTTCTGGGGTTGGAGAGGAGAGATAATTCAAGCAAAGCTGTGGTCGGGGACAGAAAAACAGAAAGTTCGACCATGCTTGGTGCTATTTCCTTTGTCTAGGAGGGTGGGGTCATGACTTCTGCACTAATCTACTCTGCCTGTCTTCAAAGACTCAGACATCCTGTTCTCTGCATTTTGGGGTCTCTCATTCTTCCCAAATCATGGCAACGAGAACGGGGGAGGGGAGGACGGGTGGTGTCTAGGATTAAGAAGAAGCTCAGCTTCTGAATTCTTCATAGTTCTTAGAAGATTTGCTGTGTGACCTTGGACAAGTCACTTTCTTCTCGGGTACTTGGCTTTTTCATCTGTAGAAAGGGGTTTCAAGTCCCCATTCTGAGACCAGAAGACAAGCTTGAAGCAAGGCACAACCTAAAGGAAGACCAGCAGCAGAAGACAGAGCCTAAGAACCCGGCGCTCAGCAGAGTCTGGCCTTGTTTTCAGATTCAGTTTCTCAACAGTGGAGAAGGAAACCCCCCCTCTTCACTCAGGATCATTTAGCGTCCATGGGGATAGAGCCATTGCCGCCACCCAGTCCTACAACCCCCTCCTGCTGAACCCCAAGTAAATCACCCTCTGCCTAGGAGATTCTGTGCTGCTCCCTCCCCTCCCCTGCATCCCAGGCAGTCAGAGGCCAACACTAGAGCCCAGCCACGAACCTACCTCTCGACCCTGACCCCATCCCCTTATTCTCCCAACCAGGGCATGGCCCCTTCTGCAATTTCCGGGAGTCTCGGAGTAAGAGGACATTTTAGAAAGAATAGAGCTACTGCCTAGAGTCTTAACTCCCAGCCCCGGTTTCCTCGGAGCCGCACACAGGGAAGAAGAGAGAGCGGAGAGCAGCGGAAGCCACAACCCCTCACCCTGAGTGACCGGAAACCGGGTGTCCGAGGCGGGGACGAGAGGGGCGGGTCTGCAGGGAAGAAAGGGCAGGCAATGTTTTCAAGGGTCGCAGGAAAGATTTCCAGGCAGCTTTGAGAGGGACAAATAAGAAGGCTTGGAGAATCCTTGCCCTGCCCTATGTTCACCCACAGTTCAGAAGTGATGGGGGGCGGGGCAAGAGAGGGGCTAGACTAGGTGAAACTGTCGGCCCTCTCTGGTCTGTGATTGGGCAGGAGGACTAAAGGGGACGGAGAGTAGATCTGCTTTTCTCCCAGTGCCTGCACATCATGGCATTGAAAAGACAAAAAGGCTAACCAAGAAGAAGCCCCTCCTGACCTCTTCACACCACCTGCCTCCTCGGGGTCAGGACTTCCTCAACCCCAGGATATCGTCTGTCCCTGAGGGGGAAGTAGTGGGGTGTCCCTCTGCACTCCCTCCACAACCACCCTCACCTCTGGAATGGAATCCACTCTCTGATGAGGAGGATGTGGGGGTTCTCCACAGCTGATTTGGGAGTTGGAGGAGAGCATCTTGGCTTCTTTGGACCTAAACACCGCCAAACGATGATCTCTGCGTAAAAAAGACTTGCGCAGAGCCTTCTCTAAGTCACTCTGTCCTCCCTCCCAGAATAGAGAGGATCTATAAAACGCTACTCACACACATTCCCCGCCCCCACCCCATCACCACACACACAGTGGCAGCGAGCTGGGTAGCACTTAGAACTGATGGGCGCTCCTCCAAGCTGTCGGTCAAGACACTTGACTCCTACTTTGATTGCTGGTTGATTCAGGCAAGCCGCTTCCCTCTCTGAGCCAAAAGCTCGCATGTGTAATACTCAAAGAAGAGGCTTTCCCTACAGGCACCCCCAAACCTCCTTCATGCTACCAAGAAAGCGTCTGAACAGATGCCAGGGGGGAAGAGGAAAAAGCAAGGCTGTCCGCCGCGGCCAGACCTGAGCCAGACGGGGCTCTTCTGGCTGGGCGAGGCTCTTTGAGGAACCGAGAGTTGCTGGGACCGAGCCCGCGATGGGGTGGGGTGGGGGAGCAAACAGAGCACTGCTCCCCCCCCCCATCCCTGCCCTTTGTCCGGAATCCAGCTGTGCTCCGTGGGTGGGGGTTTGGGGGGGGAGCGGCTCGCGTGGCCTGGCCCCTGGGCCCCTGCTGCTGATTGGCCAGTGGTGCAGGCAGCAGCCGGGCAGGCACGCTCCTGGCCCGGGCCGAGCAGATAAAGCGTGCCAAGGGGCACACGACTTGTAGCTCAGGAAATCCCCCTGGGGCTCAGGAGGGGACCCCCTAGGAGCTTCTCTTCTTCTTCCAGACGCAATTAACTCCAGGCGAGGACGCCTGCAGCTCAGCAGAACTTCAGAGCGAACAGAAGCACTCAGTTGTCCGCTGCTGCTTGACACTGACCGACCCGCCGCTCTCTATTCTTTTGCTCCGGGAGGACTAGGTAACAATTAGAAACCACCAAAGGGCAGGCGGTACCCCAATCCAGGGTGGCCTCTAAAGCAGAGACTGTCTCACTCTGACCCTTCATTTTTTCCCAACCACAGGATGGCGCCTCATCCCTTGGGTGCGCCCACCGTCCAAGTGCCCCAAGATACCCAGCAACCTTTCTCCGGAGCCTCAGACAATGAAGTTCTCAGCTCCAAATTCACCCCACCAAGCCCCACTCTCATGCTGAGGGACTGCTCCGAAGCAGAAGCGGGTGACTGCCGAGGGACCTCGAGGAAGCTCCGCGCACGGCGCGGAGGGCGGAACCGGCCCAAGAGTGAGTTGGCACTGAGCAAGCAACGACGAAGCCGGCGCAAGAAGGCCAATGACCGGGAGCGCAATCGTATGCACAACCTCAACTCCGCGCTGGATGCGCTGCGCGGTGTGCTACCCACCTTCCCAGATGACGCCAAACTTACAAAGATCGAGACGCTGCGCTTCGCCCACAACTACATCTGGGCACTGACTCAGACGCTGCGCATAGCGGACCACAGCTTCTACGGGCCGGAGACCACTATTCCCTGTGGGGAGCTGGGCAGCCCGGGAGGTGGCTCCAATGGCGACTGGGGCTCCCTCTACTCCCCAGTTTCTCAAGCTGGCAGCCTGAGCCCTACTGCCTCGCTGGAAGAGTTCCCTGGCCTGCAGGTGCCCAGCTCCCCCTCCTGTCTGCTTCCGGGCGCCCCGGTGTTCTCAGACTTCTTGTGAAGAGACCTGTCTGGCTCTGGGTGGTGGGTGCTGGCAGAAAGGGAGGGAGCTAGAGCCGCCGAGATGGGAGGTAGTGGAGGCTCTCAAGCATCCTTGCTCCTTCTGGCTTTCACTAGCCGGGTCCCTGGCCCCCTTGCTGGTTCAACCAGGCTCTCCTTAAAGCTTACAGCACCCTGGCTGCTGCCCATGCAACGCAGGCGAAAGCAGGCATTGCAGGCTGCTGTCTTCTTAAATCTCCTCTGTGCAGCATCTTCAAACTCTCTTTCAAAGCGGATAAGAATAGTAGCTCTACACAAGGGGAGACTCTCAGACTTCCTGGTGACCCTGCCCTCATTCACATCTGTCAGCCTCCGACCGTCGCTTTCTGCAGGGTGGCCGAATCCAGTGTTGGATCTCACTGCACTGGTTCTCTCTCATCCAGCTCCTGCTCACTCACCTCGCTCCATAGACAATGCTCATCCTCTCTGCTGCCCATCAGATGCGGGCAGGGTTTCCGGGCCGCACCATTCTGCCTTAATTCACAAAGGTGATCCTCTGCCTTCTCCTTCTGCACTTTTCAAGTTATAGCCCTCCCCGGAAGGGGAGACTCGGTTGTGAATGGGGAAAGCCCTGCTATGGCTGGGAGCATCTCCCCAGCTTGGCGCCTGCGTCTAAAACCGTGAACTCCAGGGACAGGTTCCTGGAGCACTGCTTGTCTCCCTAAAAAGGAAAAGAAAAAGAAAAAAATCAGCGTGTAAATGGTATAAAGCCATTTGAAATGAGTTTTGTTATGGTAAATTATATGCCTTCCTCTCCCGTTTTACACATTTGTATTTATTGATGCTATTTTGCGGTAGGAAAGTTTATATTTTGTACATAAGAGTATCAGGGACTGGTGATAGAGATTTTGGGCTAACTAATAAAAAATGGACCCTCAAGACTCTTCAGCAAGATGACTCCATGCGTGAGAGAAGGAGAGGAGGGTGGTAGCCACTGCTGGGCAATTCTATTCCCCGGAGTGAGATGAGGACTTTTCTGGGGTCTGGAGCCTCTACCTTGAGTGCTGGGCTGGAGGTAGGGCAGGCCATTTCAGAGGATAGGAAGCCTCTTAAGAAATCATTAGCCTGAAACTCCGGTTCTCTCTGAGACTTGCTTATTTCCAACAGCAGGTTCAGAAGAAAGGCAAATCTCTAACTGGGGCTTTTATAGTCCCTCCCCCCAACCCCCTCCCCGGCACATTTATCTGCCTGGATTTAGAACTACACTGCCCTCTGGGAAGGGAGAGAATTATAACTTGTAATATTAACAGGCATCCCTAGAACACCACCTCAGGAATTCCCCCCTTCCCCAGGTATTTAGACACCCAGCATGACTCTACTCCTAAGGCACATTTTACCCACCGGTCTTCAAAAAAACCACATTTTCAAGCAGTTTAGCAGCGAAGATAGAGGGTCTAGCTGGGATCTCTGTTCCCCTAGAAATGTGGACCCTTGACTGTGTATCCACTCATAAAGTGGCCTGGCTTTTCACCCCACTGAGCTAGCTGTCTATAGGCAGTTCACTGACAGAGACTGGTTCACTGTAGCACTACAAGCTGGCCTGAAGATGTTAGCAGAGAACGGAGGCGTTGCCTCAGAGAAGCTCTGCCAAGTTACAAGAAAACGGAGGTCAGATATCCAGGAACCCACCCAAAGGGGGAAGATAAAGAAGTGACACCCACCAGGTGGGATGCTGCCAGTGACTATGATCTGTGATCTGTGTAGGTTGCTTCTGTCCTAGAGCCTACAGGTGGCAGTTTCTCAGGCTCTGATGCTAATGCCTCTGTGTCTTTCTCTCTGGTGCCCGCCCCCCTCTGGATCTGAAAGTTCCCTCTATTTCCAAGTCCCTAAAGGACGCTCAGAAGAGTTGTCTTCCTTATCAAGGACAGGGATTGCAGGGGGGCTAGGAGTGGGGGTGGGCACTGCAAACAAGCGAATGAACAGCGTGTTGTTTCAGTTGGTGGCTTTAATCTGGGAGGAGGAGATTAATGGGTTATTGGAAACTTCAACAACAGCCAACTTTTCACCTGGGGCACTGCCCAGGGTGTTAACAGCTCCATGCTGCACAGACCAAGCCTGCTGTGTGTTGGTACTGGGTGGGGGGAGGGGTATAGGCAGATCTGAAAAGCAGGACGCTTCCCCTGCCTCCTGGAAGGTCCGCATGGGTATAGACAAAGTCATTCAAGACCTAAGAAACGTCGTTGCAGGCGATATGAGCCCCAAGAGGAGGCTGGGACTAGTACCTGGGCTCTGATGGCAAAAGGTTTGCCCGAAGAGGTCCTGGGAGGGTGGAGTTAAAAATAAGGAGAATTACTGAAGTGGAAAGATACCTTTTCCTGTTTTAGGCTGTGGGAAGTAGTGTTTCTCTAGGGTGAATGGGAGCTCCTTTGGTACAAGTGACTCTCTGAAGCGAGCTAGTGTCTGGACAATGGAAGAGGCTGGGGTGCACCCACTGTCCATTTCCCCAAGCACTCTCTAAAGGGGAGTAGGTGAACACACACAGCCTAATCCTCTACCCCCCTGAATGTACACAGGTACAATCTAAGTACCCTGGCTCAGTTGCTACCCAGTGTTAAGTGTGGATTTGATTCCAGAGCTATGTCGCCTATTCTGCAAGTTCGGGGGGTGTGGTGTGGGGCATGGGTGGATGAAGGCTTAGGGATTGATTTGAATTCCTGCAAAATTTAGAGTTCTGTGGCTTAAATAGCAGCACCAGTGTGTGTTTCTTCCTGGAGAGCCCTTCTTGGAAGTGTGGGAGGTGTGGATCCAACTCAAAACAGCCTTGCCTCTCACCTCTCTGGACATTTTGGATGTTTTGTAGCTTTTAAAGCTCAGTACACCTGCTGCAAACTCCTTCTGGCCAGCTTTCCTTGGTTGGTCTTGTGGCCTGGGGTGCCCAGCTCCCAGAAACCCTGACAAGATTCCAAATCCTGTCAGGAAAAGGCCTTTGGGTAGAGTGAATCTCCATCCTCTCGTGCTTTTGTCTGAGTCCAAGTCTAGCTCCCAGAACAGCGCATGAATCTTGGACTCAACCCCACCCCTCCCCAAGCCCTTCAGCATACACACAAGCAGGTAGATTTATGGTGCCCTGCCCCCATCTCACCCTTCCCCCACAACCCCCAGCCGGCCTTGGTTGGAGGACAAAGCAACCCAGAGCTGTTGGAATGCTAATGTCTGGGAGCCCATCCACTGGGCTGGCACAAAAGCAGGCAAGGCTGGGAGCACCCTTTCCTTTGGGCTACCGGGCTGTATGACCTTGGACAAGTCCTCCAAGCTAAATCAAAACGGAAGTTGGAGACAGTTTCTAAAAACCCATCCACTAGATTCTGGCTTTGCTTACAAAGAATGAAATTACAGCACCCCCACCCCACCCACACGTCCACTAGGAATGGTGTAAAACACCTTTAAGTTCCTAGCACCAAGGTCAGTGTGGGAAGGCTCAGGGTGGGGTAGTTTACAGACTAAACGCCAAGCAAATCTAATTACATTTATGCAACTTCTCTCTTTTGAGTCCCCGCTCCCCAGTATACATGAATTTTCAAATTTCTGGCAGCCCACTGCTCAAGAAAAAAAAGCAGGACCTGGCACTTGCTGACCTGCCTGTCTGACCTTCCAAGAGCCAGATGTAGGGATGGAGTGTAGGGGATTTGAGACTAGGCACCCATCTCAGGTACCCTCTTAATGCCAGAGCGCAGGGCAAGATGAATGGCCTCAGTAATGCGAGCATAGAGCCCAGAAGTGACTTCCATAAGGCCCGTGGTCATTTGGTGACTATGGGAGAAAATACACCTGAGACACTGACTCTAACTTAGTAGTTTGGTGTTTTTCACTCTGTACCTTTAGATAGAAGAGGAGAAGGAGCTAGAGAGGACAAGCCTCTGGAGTTCAGCCAGTTCCCTGGGGTTCCAGTAAGGTCCAGAAACTCCCTCGTGCATTGCTCAATTCAGTTTCTAAGTCTCCTGGCCAGATTCCATTACCTCTGCTTCCAAGACCTATTGGTCCAAGATCAGTGAAAGAAATGTCACTGATCGGCTAACTTTCAGTAGCGACTGCTTACATCCTCAAGTCTTAAGCACGCCCCTGGCCATGGTGCTGAAACAGTCAGGTTGACCTAGCACAAAATATGCTCCCCGGCATGTCCTCTTCTCAGCCCAGAAAACCACCTTCCCTCTTTCTCTTTCCACAATGCCTTGCCTTCACATTCAGAAATACTGACCCATCAGAGATTCCCTTTGACACATAAACACTCATTCTGTGCTTTCCCCTGGTGTTTTCTGTCTGTCAAAAACCTGTCTCCTTTTCCCATTCCCCAAGCCTTCAGAGAGGAAACTTTCTCCCTCCTACTTCTAAAAGATCCCGTGAGTGAGAATATTCATCGACATGTACATATATGGGACACTGTGACCTATGTGCACACCGTAGAGTCAATAAAGTAAACTAACATACTCATCACTTCATCCATTAGTTATTCTTAAATTACATTACTCTTTTGGGTAGGTGGGTAAGTGCACAGCACCTGTAGATGTCAGAGGACAACTTGACGCCAGCCAGTTCTCTACTTCCACCATGTGAGTTTTGGCAATCCTACTCAGGTTCTCAAGCTTGGTGGCAAGCACCTTTGCCTGCTGAGTCATCTCCCTGGCCCTAGCGTGTGTGTGTGTGTGTGTGTGTGTGTATTCATGCACGCACTTGTGTATGCATGCGTGTATATGTACCGAGAATGAGAAAAGTCTGTTTTGGAATATACAATGTGTCATCGCACACAACTGGGGTCACCCGACAGGCTTGCCAACTCAGTGAATCTAATTTCAAGTCCAACTGAAGTTTGCACCCTTTGATGAGTATCTTCCCATGCCCCCTCCTCCCTCCTCCCTCTCTGGTCCCCAATTCTCTAGTCTTTGTTTCGCTGAGATGTCATTTTTTTTAGTTCCCCAGATGAGTGAGATCACACATGTTTTTTCTGTGCCTGGCCTATGTTCCTCGGTGTCACGTTCTCCGGTGCCATCTGTGCTGCTGTATGTTATTCCACTGTGGATATATGTCACGTTTTCTTTATTCATCTATCAGTTGGTGGGCACCTGTTTTCAGATCTCAGAGATTGTAGACAGTGGGTGGCAGGCATGTTATCCTCTATATACTGATTATAATTCCAGAAATGGTTGGGTAGACCTGTTTGTTTAGGAATTTCTAGCCCTCCACCCACTGGCTAGCACTTACACACAGGCGAATATCTTTGAGTGAGAGGATGATTCATTGGTAGACACAAGGTTAACTCATATTTTCTTCTGTACCAAAATAACTAATATTGACTGTCCATGGACCTATTTTAGAAGAGACCTCATCTACCGTTGTAAACCTGGGTTCTCATGGTGGCTATGGTGTTTCTGAGCTCAAGAGTAGCAATGCCATCGTGTAGCTGATTCCTCCTGAGATCATTTCAATGAGCCAATGAAAAGACACAGGGCATGACAGCTGTCTTATCTTTGACACTTCATAATCCTATCAACTCTGGCAAGTTACTTAGCTCCAAGCCTCAGTTTCTCCAGCTATAAACATGGAAGGCGCTGGGAAGATGGCAGGTGTGTTTGCACACTTCCTATGATGCCAGCGACTCAATGAGTCTCCACTAGGGGACCTCCTTCATCTCATCTCATCGCATCTCATCCCTATAGATG